AACCTGGATGCAGCTAGAATTCTCACCAGATCATACATGCACGCAACCCCACACACACTCCACCTCGGCGCGAGCATCTCCTGACCGCAAGGTGGAATGGCGTGAATAAGAAGTAGCCCCGAGACCACAGCCGTGGCCGTTCTCAAGGGTCCAGCGGGCCGTCATGGTGACAGGGAGATGGAGAAGATTGTGATGTCTTTTGTCAATTGTGAGCAAGCCCTGTGCATCCCAATCAGCTTTCCCTTGGCTGCCAGGGAAAAATCAAGGAGAAAGCAGAATGGGAGCTGGGTGGATTTGCTGGGTTTGTCTTAAACTTCAAAATCACCCCTTTGTGCATATGTGCGCATACGGCAACCTACGAAGAATAGTATCTCTTCCACTACAAAAATTCAAACACGATAACAGGATCTTTAATGCACATACCTGGCTTCCAGTAACTATTCTCAGATACGGATAAACCAGTCTATATCTCGTTCATGTCAATTTCATGTCTATTCTATTGTAAGCCTCCTTCTTCCCTTTCTATATGGTTATGCTGATCTCTCTCACACAAACAGTCTCTTTCTCTCTTTGTTTCTGATGGAAATTTGCAGCTGGCCCCCTATACTTGCAATATCCCCCAACATACACATTTTGTACAATTTTGTAAGCATTTTCCCCCCCTAAAACGTGGATGGTTTGAACACGGTTTCCCATGAAATACACATATTTGTGCATGCACATCTCTCTCAAAGGCACATTAGGCAAGAGCGATATTGTAAAATCTGGTGATTCGAAAGAATCATGGTTTTCAGATCTATATTGTAATCTGAAGAGGTGAATGCTATCGATTTACTCCAGAATTATTCTCATCCTTTCTGGGACACAACTGCAATTCATTTACTGGGAGGTTGCCAAGAGCAGCTTTCGGTTTTGAGTGAGATTTCTGATTTTGTTGTTCCTTGGGTTTTTTTAAAAAAAATGTTTTGTGCTTTCCAACTCGCCACCTTCTCCTAGATAGATGGATCCATCTGAATGGCTTCCCTGTTCAGATCAGTTTGAATCAACTTGCTTTCAGTTAAAATCCCAGTTTTAGAGTAATTTCGAGTCCAGCCGGAATGCCTTTGATGCAGCAAGGAAGGATGGAGAAGGTTGATTCGCTTAAAAATATGGACGGAGTGAAATGCAAAACTCATGATGTCTTCACTCCGCTGTGCCGCTGCGATTCGGCTGGCCCCTTCACACCAATCTCCACGCCTTTCTTATGGTCTTACTCTCCTTTTGTTCATGCTAGTCTTTGGAGAAATGCCATGGGGGGCCGGAGAGTTAAGACTTCTAAAGCCTTTAATTTGGGGAACCAAAGCAGATTATCCCAAGAAGGTAGACCCACAATTTGCATAATTGGGTATAGAGATCATGGAGATTTGGGGTGGTGGTGGAAGGGGGTGCAAGAGAGATCTAGGAGATATAGACGTTTGTGCTATGACGTGCCCCAGAACTCCCAGGAGCAGGAGTTTGGTCTTACTTTTAAAACTCTTTTTATAAAAGCCAGAGAAAACAAACTTTTTTTCATTCTCAATCCCCTGTGATGGCCGAGAAACATCATGGCAGTGTTTGAATAATTTCTTATTTTGTCATTTGGTGATTACGTAAATACTGTTGATAAAAAAACTTTTCTGCTCACCAGCAGGTCCCATATTTGTGTGTGAAGGAAGGAAGGAAAGAAGGAAGGAAGGAAAAGAGAGTGGAGGAAGGAAGGAAGGAAGGAAAGGAAAGAGAGTGGAGGAAGGAAGGAAGGAAGGAAGGAAGGAAGGAAGGAAGGAAGGAAGGAAGGAAGGACTAATATTAAGCAGATGCTAGGCAGGGCTTTCGGAAGGGCTTTGAGCTCTAGGGACCTCTAGTGTTGACGTGCCCCAGAACTCCCAGGAGCAGGAGTTTGGTCTTACTTTTAAAACTCTTTTTATAAAAGCCAGAGAAAACAAACTTTTTTTCATTCTCAATCCCCTGTGATGGCCGAGAAACATCATGGCAGTGTTTGAATAATTTCTTATTTTGTCATTTGGTGATTACGTAAATACTGTTGATAAAAAAACTTTTCTGCTCACCAGCAGGTCCCATATTTGTGTGTGAAGGAAGGAAGGAAAGAAGGAAGGAAGGAAAAGAGAGTGGAGGAAGGAAGGAAGGAAGGAAAGGAAAGAGAGTGGAGGAAGGAAGGAAGGAAGGAAGGAAGGAAGGAAGGAAGGAAGGAAGGAAGGAAGGAAGGAAGGAAGGAAGGAAGGAAGGACTAATATTAAGCAGATGCTAGGCAGGGCTTTCCGAAGGGCTTTGAGCTCTAGGTACCTCTAGTGTTGACATATTGGTAATGCCTACACATTTTTTTAAAAGTGAATATTGCTAACTGGTTATGTGGATGGAAAAGTTTATCACAGGACAGAAAACTCTTGCATGTTCAATGATTTCTGAGAGTTTAGTGAAATCTAAGGAGGGATTTCCAACTATTCCTTTACACAGAATTACGAGTCCTTGGAAAGGAGGCCCTTTATTGGCCCCAGTGTGCAAACGAAGGGTATAAAGCAGAGATGATCTCAGGTTGTTTAGGTGTGCAATTAATTGAAGGACTTATGTAAATCACAGCAGATAAACAAGGCATAAGACCTAAGAAATGAAGACACAACGGGGGGGGGGGGCGGGGAAGAAAGAAGTCAAAGTCGATGAATTTCCAAAGCAATGATGTCATTGCACTGGATTAGAGTCTCCAATGAAATCATAGTTTTGCAAAATCATCCATAATTATCCCTTTATAAAGCTATCTATATTTGTGCCAGTCCACTCGGCCACATGCCTTTTGCCCCATATACCCCGAAAGTAGGACTGGATTAAGAGTCCGGAATGTGCGCCACTGAGGAGGGGTGCTATGAAGAGCTTTTCTGGACTCTGGCCTTCCTGGACAGATCGGACTCCCCCGCCATTCGCAACCCCGAGGAGTCAGGGTCACAGGAAAGGGACAGAGTATCGCAAGGATCCATTGAAGGATACTCTACCATTTAGGATTGGCTCCTGCACCTGGCACTGCTGGCCCAACCTAGGGTGGCCCACATGTCCTCTTTTACAGAGGGAAGCCCTCCCACTGAGGAGCTGCCCGGTGGCCATCCTTCTTGTGCAGACAGCTTACACTGACTGGCCGTCCGGTCCACATCTGATTCAGGAAGGGAGGTCAAGGGTTTCCCTGTCCGTCTGAAATGGGGCATAGTCTAAGGCTGCTTCAGTGATGGAAACCATTTCTGATCTTCCCTGTGTACTTGTCCGTGAGCTCACACCACTGTGATTTCCACCAGTGCTCTCCTTTTGGGCGAGGTGTTAGCCCTTTCCTCTTACTCCCTCTCTCACCTTGTATGATTTGGTGGGAAGACTGGCGGGGGGGAAACAACCCACACTGCAAAAAGGTTAAGAACCACTGGCCTAAGCTGCAGCCCAACCTAATCTCTAGAGTTCTGGAAAGGCCATCATCTCCTCTCTCATTCATCCTCTTTTCCTTGGCTAAACGTTGCCTCTCCTCTTGATGGGTCCCCTGGCAGGGCTGGCTTTTCATGATACACATGGAAGGGAAGAGATTGGATCTTAAGCTGGATGGACATCCGTCAAAGAGGCTGCGGGTGTGGGTTTCTGCATCAGCCGACAGTTGGCATGGAAGACCCTCGAGGTTCCTTCCAACTCTTTACCCATCGTCATCATCACCATCACCATTATCACCCTCCTCTTAGAACTGCAGAGTTGGAAGGGACCCTGTGGGTCATCCACTCCAGCCCCTACCTCGGACGCACGCTGGGGGAATCAAACTCCCAACTTTTGGCTCCACCACCAGAGGTCTAAACCACTGAGCTATTCGGCAGTGATTTGGGTGTCCAAATCCTATCTGTGTTCATGTAAGATTGGCGTAACGTGCCATGACTAATGGCAGCTAATAGATAAGGTTGATGGAAACCAGTAGATTCTGGCTGTGCTCTTTCCTAAATACGATGGTCCTGGTGTTTGAGTTGATGTGGTTGACCAGACCAGATGGGTGGGATATAAATTAGATAGATAGATAGATAGATAGATAGATAGATAGATAGATAGATAGATAGATAGATAGATAGATAGATAGATAGATAGATAGATAGATAGATAGATAGATAGATAGATAGATAGATAGATGTCCTGCTAGAGAGCCTTTCAGCACATTCTCTAACTTTATCCTCTTTCTCCAGACAGACAGACAGACAGACAGACAGACAGACAGACAGACAGACAGACAGACAGACAGATGTCCTGCTAGAGTGCCTTTCAGGACATTCTCTAACTTTATCCTGTTTCTTCCCATCTGCCTAGGCTCCAGTCAGGTGGATGCAGGGTTTTCAGAACTCCCAACTCTGCGGATCACAGAAAGGGACCCAGCAAACACTTCCAGCACCGAGTCCTTGCTTAAAGAATTGCTCTCTTCAGGATCTCAGCCTTGGGGGAGTGTTCAGTGGGAGTCACTGAATCCTGAGCTGTTATCTTCTGGGGTCGTGTGTCTGCCAGGTATTGTGAGTCCAGATATTTTCCTGTCTGAGTGTCATCCGATGGGCACCTAGCCTGCTGTTTGATCTACTGGTGGAACAGGTTGATTTGCTCCTTTTTATGGCAATCCCACCGTGCAAACACTGGAGGGAACCAAATTTTGAACCATCGTGTCCCTTCCTGCATCTTCCTGAGCCACTGATGGGTTTCTACTTTTTTGGCGCCGGTTAGATCACTCTAATTTGGTCCATTTGCATCATGTGTGCAAATGGACACATTGCATCATGAATCTTTGCTTTTCCTGGCTGTCCAGGTTCCTTCCAGTTGGAATCTCTGATATCCTGAAATGGTTTAAAATGTGAGCCACTTCAGGATAGTGACAAATGGGATTCTTCCACGGATTCGACTGTTCTCAACTGGTCCTTGAGACAAGCCAAAGAATTTTTTTTTAAATTTTTTTGATAGTGATGCAACACATCAATGTCTTTGCACAGGCAAAAATGATAATTTCATTTCCGCTTCACTGAAGACAGAGGAGGTGTCCAGGTGCTTCAAGAGATTGGAAATTCTAATTGGAAGGCGCTGGACCAAAATTGTGTCACTTCAGCTCTGATGCACCATTTGGATGCGAAGATTGCATCCAGGGGTGTATTGCATCGCTAACCAACCCAGAGCAATCCTATTGTTGCGATCTGCCTTGGGGAATATGCCTATGGGGAGAAAGCTGGCACATAAACAATTTAAATAAATAAATAAATAAAACACTAAATAAATTTTGCCTGCACCAGCCTGCTCCAAAACGTCCCATGTAGACAAGCCCTAACTTCTGCTGCTATCCACCTGTACATTTGTTTCAGCTGGTTGTAGACTTAAGATCCTCCCAGGGGTTTGCAAAGAGGTTGCAACTTCTGTGAATACTGCAAAAGAAAATATGCCACATGACTGGGTTACATTCAGAAGAGGAGCCCCTGTAGTGACTCAGATAGTGCAATAAATAAACATTATTTGGAGCTGTGGTCCAGAAAAGCTACTCATCCAGAGAGTTTCATGAAGTTCATTCATGTTCTTACCTTTTCTTTTTCCTTCGGCTCCAGGCAACACAGATAAGCTGGGCAGACCCATCGTCCAGATCACCACCAGCGGCAGAGTGTGGCAGGCCCCCTCGGGCTCAGCCCGGGAAGTGACCCAGCTTCTCCTCCATTTTTGCTCCGTGTCCAGGCAAGTCAGCTCTCTGCAGAGGAGGGCATTCTTCTTTTAATTACGCAGGCTACACACTGCCCACCCCACCACCACCCCGTGAGCTGGGTGCTCAGTTTACTAACCTTGGAAGGGTGGAAGGCTGAGTCATTCTCGAGCCGGCTACCTGGGATTGAACCCCCGGGTCGAGAGCAGAGTCTTGGCTGCAGTACAGCAGTTTAACCACTGCTCCATGAGACTCAAATGAAATGAATGGGGGAAAGTGGTTGTGAAATACACCAGAGGTCTTAAAGAGGAAAGAGAGGCATCTGGACCCTCCACCAGGGTTACGGAATAAACATGTGTGTCACATTAGATAGTGGTTTCCAAACTTTTTCAAGTCTCTGTCCCCTTTCATAATAGCCAGGTGACATGCAGCCTCTCTTCCCCACTGCCATGTTTACATAAAAAGGCATTTCAATGGGATGAAACCCCTTTCATAATAGCCAGGTGACATGCAGGCCCTCTCCCCGCTGCCATGTTTACATAAAAAGGCATTTCAGTGGGATGAAATCATCCTTTCTCCGAAAGTAGAGGCTTCTTTCTCCTTCAAAGGACCTGTTTCTCATACATACACATACACACTCACTTTTAATATCCCACTCGGAAAAGTCAAATCATTGAACAAGGATGGTGACACATAAAAGATGACCTGGGACCTTCCCTCCCAGAAAATATTTTGCAAGTTTTTCCTGATATTCGGTCAATATCTGGTTTCCTGTAACTTGAGCCCATTGTTGTGTGTCCTGCATTCTGGATTGATCGAGAACAGATCCTGCCCCTTCTCCGACTGGCTTATTTGAATTATTTCTTCCTTTTCATTAGAGGGCTAGCTGCTTTAGCAAAGGAATGAATTTCTTATCGGTTTGAAGACTTTGATCATGATGGCTGCCCCATCTTGATATTTTTTCTGCTCTAGAACTGCAGGTCAAATCTGCTGCTTTGCGATTTCAAACATCACCTTAGTGATTAATAACTTGCAGCCAATATTATGCATCAAGGTAGTCTACTTGCCACGTGGGGGGAAAAGAAGTTGGTGGAACTGTCCCCAACTGGAAAAATCAACATTGCCAGCCCATCCGTGCCGAGGTGGCCAGGAAGCCTCTGTGGCAGTGGTCGGGCCGTGGCCTGCTTCTAGCTTGATGAGTGACTTCAGTGGCTCTAATTTGGCTACAGGATGAGCCCCTACCCTGGTGCTGTCCATATCCGAGAGGCCTCCCAACACTGGCCGACTGGGACGGAAACCCATCAAAAACCCTCGAGTGCAACTCTTCGAAACTTAACCTGTGGATTTATTCAGGGAGATTATATCCTGCACTGGGTCTTCAGAGCTGTCTCCTCCAGTTTCCAACTGCTGAGTGCCCTCCCTGCTTCTAATTTTCTGCTTCTGCCTTTAAGAAGGCAAAGTTCATTTGGCAATGTCTTCTTCCATTCTCCAGGAAGTCATCGAAGGACATGGGGTTAACGATTCTCATCGATGCCAGAAAAGAGCCCCCCTGCCCGTCCCTCTCTGCAGCCCTGGGAGCGATCCAGGTAATCCCAGGTGGGTGGGAAGAGCAAGGGAATGGCTAGTTGTTGCATGGTGTGTGTGTTATTTTTACGTGAATGAAATCATACAGTGCACACAGCTGGCTTGCCACTCGAGACTGGCAACGATGCCACAGCGATGTCTGTATGTCTCAGCCATCCCTTTTGTGAGGGAAGCCCGTGTCTGCATCCTGAGGACTCACCCTGACACAGCTGGCTTGCCACTCGAGACTGGCAGTGGTGTCACAGTGATGTATGTATGTATGTTATGTCTCAGCCATCCATTTTGTGAGGGAAGCCCATGTCTGCACGCCAACACAGAACAGGCCAGTCTGAGAAAACAGGGAGCTGAGAAAATGTGTGGCGTGACAGTCAGATGCCTTTCAGTACTTAGAAGAACTCCTGCTTCTAAGGATGTGATTTCCCAATCGTGTGGTTTGAAGTTCACGCAGAGAGATTCCTTCCCTAAGGATGGAAGTTGTAAGAGCAGCTCCCTGTCGCTTGTGCTTTGTTCCTAAAAAGGAGACCACTTTTTCCCCCTCATTAAACAAAAAAAGGAGGCAATGTTTGCATTAAACTTGTGCATGCTAATTTAAACAAATATATGCAAATATTCCTATATTTAACCATTATTACTATAAATAGGAATATGTAGGAATATAAAACAACTCTCCAAAGTGCACAAAACTGTGAGCTGCTGACAGCCTCAGGAGTTAGTGTTGGGAGAAAAGTAGGAAATGAATGAATGAATGAAGTGTTTAATAACATCTGAAATTCCCTTTCACCTTGTATCTTTGGCTGACTATGCATGTGTGTGTGTGAAATAAATAGCATCCATTAAGCAGGTAATATTTTAGTTGCACTGAAATGAATTTACCAAGTATTAAGCCATACATCCCCACCGCGGTGCAATCAAAATGAATGACTGCCCGAAAGGAGTCATTTATTTTTGATTCATTAAACAGCATTTATCCCTTAATTACTTTTCTTCTTTCTGCCCCCCCCCCCTTGTTGGATTCAGTTGTCACGAGACGTCCACCTCCTAAGGATTCCAGGCATTTCACCGCAAATAAATGAACAGGGGATCATGCTCATCTACAGATAATGAGGAACCCTTGTTCATGACTGCCCGAAAGGAGTCATTTATTTTTGATTCATTAAACAGCATTTATCCCTTAATTACTTTTCTTCTTTCTGCCCCCCCCCCCTTGTTGGATTCAGTTGTCACGAGACGTCCACCTCCTAAGGATTCCAGGCATTTCACCGCAAATAAATGAACAGGGGATCGTGCTCATCTACAGATAATGCGGAACCCTTGTTCTATTAGCCTAAATCATCCTCCTAAAACGGCTTTCCGTTTAGGTTAAATGAAGCATTTCTGTGGTAGACCCATCAAAAGTTGCTACAGCTTGCTAGGATGGCAAAGATGATAGACGGTCATTTGGGATTCTGTCCAATTGGGGGAACGCGGGGGTGGGAAGAGAAGGATGATGGAAACGACCGGTGGGCTTTTTGGGACTGAGACCCCCAGACTCCCTCAGCCAGCAGGGGTAACTCCCTGAAGCGCTGCTATTTTCGGGATGCTGACCCTCCCTCTCTGCCCCCAGATATATCCCCCCCACACCCACTTTTCTCTCTCCCTTCCAGAAGGCCTTGCCCGGTTGCATCCATGCCGTCCTGCTCTTGGCCGAGAAGGAGGCGGCGTCACACCTGGAGAGGTTCCCCGGTGTACAGGTGAGCTCCGCAGCCGCCAGCTTTTCTTCATTCTGCCCTTCCTCCTTTTTTCCTGCCTCCCCATCTCCCTCCCCCACCCACCCACGAGAGGGATGGGGCAGGAATTTTAGGAAACGCATTCAGTTTTTTCCATCAACTGGCTGGGAAGCTGCTTTCCTGGGCAGCCCAAGGCTTGACCTGTTGAACTGCTTCCTTCCTGAAGAGGAGAGTTGCCTTGCCCGGGAAGGCGATGGGTCCCACCCTGGCCCCCTTTCCCTTCCCATGGCCAGTTAATTATTCCAACTCCGGGAGGTGGGGACGCCCGAACAGCCTGCCGCAGCGAGCGAGCTCCCAGGCAGCTGAACTAATAACTCAGTCCTTCTTTTCTTGATGCGGCGGGGCTTAATTAGTGCAAGATGAAACATTAATGAGGTTGATGAACGGCCTCTGCTGCAAACAATTAAAGGGACTCGCCTTTCCCTGTGGATTCAAAAAAGGAGCCCAGGGAGGTGGGAATTTCTGCTCAGCAAAGGATGATGGATTGGAAGAAAGGCAGGCAAGGAGGAAGAAGATGGTGTTGGTCTCCCTCCCACCCCAGAAGGTGGGAAACCGCCCACAGAGGAAACGCTGGGGCAGGACATGCAACCTTAGGAAGAAGGTGTGCACATGCCTTGCAAGGCAGGATCTGTCCTCCATGGGCCATGGCAGAGTAGGCAGTCTGGATTCTGTCTTGGCAAAGGCCAAATTCTGCAACCACCGCGGCATGCCTGTATTTACTGTATTTTTCCGTGTATAAGACTATACTTTTTTCTAGAATCCTTAGACTAAAAATTGAGGGTTGTCTTATACACAGAAGTAAGCTGAGGAGAGAGAAAAACAAGTGGAAGGGAAAGCAGGGATCAAAGCGATCCTGCAGGGCTTTGATCGCTGCTTTCACCTCCACTTGCTAAGCCCCACTTAGATTTCTTAATTTTGGGTTAGAAAAATGGGGCGGCGTCTTATACGTGGGGGCGTCTTATACACAGAAAAATAAGGTATATAATGGCTCAGTGGTTCACGCCGGTTCCTTTTTCGGCCGAACGGGTGTTTGGCTCTTCTCCGTCCCGCCTCCTCTAGAGGACGCCCACTCAGAGGCAGCTCCCACACGAAGTGGGGCAGGGAAGCTGGGGCACTGTGTTTGGGCCCATTGGAGGAGACGGGGCTGGGAACACCTGTTTGGCCAGAAAACGAAACTGCCACAAACTGCTGAACTGCTGTTTGTGCCCATCCTTAAAATGAGTGCTTTCTTTTTTGGACCCATGCACAGAACAAATTCTGATAGCCTTCTGCTTCCGTCATCATCGTCATCATCTTAGAACTGCAGAGCTGGAAAGGACCTTGCGGAGCACAAAGTCCAGCACCTCTCAAGGAGCCCCAGTGGGAAATTCGAACTCCCAGCCTCTGGCTCAGCAGCCAGAAACCTAAACCACTGAGTGAGCTAGGTGGATCGAGGCCTTTTAGTGTCATGTTCAGAAATGTGTTGCTCTTACCTCTCCCTTGCTTCTCACCTGTTTCCACATCTCTGTTTGCACATATTTCAATGTTTGTTTTTACGCCACAGTGGCCGCGGTGGCTCGGCTCTGAGACAGCGAGTGGAACTGTATATAAGATTGCCCACTTTCCAGCCAGAGAGGAATAATGGACTGTCCTGTTGTGTGTTCCTTCCCCCCCCCCGCCGCCCCGCTCCGCAGGTGGAGGTGCTGAGCTCCCTGAAGGCTTTAGCCCGGCACGTGGACAACAGCCAGCTGACCCCAGGGAGGTGCTGAGCTCCCTGAAGGCTTTGGCCCGGCATGTGGACAACAGCCAGCTGACCCCGGGCTTCGATGGCCAGTTCCCCTATTGCCACCAGGAGTGGATCCAGTACTTCCAGGTGATTGGGTTTGTCGGCGTTGGCCAGACCTTGGAGATCCGCGCTGGGTGGTGGGGAGGACGCTTGAGTCTGGAAAAGGCTCTTTCCAACCGTCGGCTCTCTCTCGTCTTGAAAACGGCTTCCTTAAGGCTTCTTCCTCCCTTCTGCAATTCAAAGGGAAACAGCTGGACCCACCCGTCACCCGTTTGGTTTCTTTATTCCTTTGCCATTTCTGACCCCAAGTGCCCCCAACGGCTGGAGGCAAGAATAAAACAGAAGAAACTCGTTCTGTCCCAACCCAAGGGAGTCCTTCTGACTTGGCTGTCTTCCCTCTCCGCGGGAGTGTGTGTGTGTGTGGGGGGGGTTCTTTCCTTTCCCTTCCCACTCTGCACATGTTGGTTTGTAACCTCCTTGGGGCAGGGGCCTGGCTTTGTGGTTTTTGTGCAGCGAAACGCCCTGAGGCTTCCTGACATGGAGGACAGGGGAGCACCGGTGTGTGTGTGTGTGTGTGTGTGTGTGNGTGTGTTGGTGAGATGCCTGAAGGAGCATGGGTGATCCCAATAAGTAACTTTTGCAAACCCTGCTATTCACTACTATCTCTAGTCTGCTTTCTCGCAGCTGAACTTTCTCCTTCTTGTTATGCAGAAGTGTCATGGGCCTGTTTCTTGGCACGATGCTTTGTCGCTGATTTGTTGATTTGATTTGATTCTTTGTCCTTCCAGAAGTTCCACCCTTTTGTCCGTGGTCTCACAAAGGCCTCCGAGGTCTTGCAGAGGACCACCCGGGAACTGGAGAAGGAAAATGCACTCGAGACCTCACAGGTAACCGCTGGGCCTCAGAGTGTTTGGGTTGCTCCCCCATCCATTTGTCTGTCATCTTCCCCGTCTGTCCGTCCATCCATCCATCCGTCTGTCTGTCTGTCTGTCTATCTAGCCATCTGTCTATCCACCCGCCCGTCTATCTATCTATTGAGCCATCCGTCCCTCCGTCTGTCCACCTCTCTGTTTGATTTATATACCACCCCATTAGTGCAAGCACTACTCCGGGCAGTTTACAGGTAAAAACCTAAATCCCCCACATTGCAAGGACCAAGGTTTCGATGCCCCAAAGCAGCTCCTTCCTTTCCATGCCTGAAAAAAAGAAAAAAGAAAAAAGCCTGCTCCATCGTTAGAGCAGGTGAGCCTTCCTAAATGCTGGGCAACACCTGAAGCTTTGGACTCCTGAAAGTCAGATCATGGGAAGGAGAAACAGGGACGGGAGGTGTGACGCTGCAAAATTATTCCACTGAAGAGTATTTCTGGGTAGCCCAGTTATCTCCCAGGTGCACAGGGCCATGTTTTCCTCCAGAGTAGAATAGTGTTCAGATCTGAAGAGCCAACAGCTCTGAGATCTGCCCCCAGGTCGGCTCTCAGGAGTGAAGAGGACAGGATCTCTGTCGAATCAACCTGTGACCATGCCACAGGTGGGCTTCTGGTCTGTTTTCCAAGACCAGCCAGCTAGCCAGAAGCTTCCTGGAAGGTTTCTGGCCAAAGGTGGAGGAGATACAGTGGGGTCTTGACTTAAGAACGGCTCGAGTTAAGAACATTTTGACTTACGAACCGCTCTCATAGGAAAATATTGACTTGACTTACATACTTAGATTTGAGTTAAGAACTGAAAAAAAACCACGTGGGAGGCAGGGAAAGTGCAAAATGTGAACTTTCAGTTAACTGTTAGCCAGTGAAAAGGGTGCCTGTCTGCTTCCTCGCTCCTCCCAGCATTTAGAGAGTGGATTGGGAGTCTTCAGGCTGCCTGGACTGTATTTTCCCTGCCTTCCCTGAACCTTTCTTGACCTAAGAAAAAAAGAAACAAAATATCCCCCTCTAGTGGTTGAAGGAGGAATAGCAGCTTCCCATTAGTTTCTATGGACGGAAAAGAGCAGATACGGATCAAATGGTTCTCAATGCATTCCTATGGGAAATGCAGATTTGACCTGAGAACTTTTTGACTTGAGAACCACTTTCCAATACGGATTAAGTTCTCAAGTCAAGACCCCACTGTAAATCTCTCCTCCCTGGTGGTTCCTCCCCAGCAGCCATTTTTGGGAGGTAGACTGCCTTAGGATGAAGAGGCTTTTATGTTCAGCTTTTTTGGGGGGGCCAACTGCCACAGCAAGCGCTGCCCTCTGTGGACGTGGCTAACCCCTGCCATCCTCCTGCAGGCCGTGGAAGAGCAACTGGACTGCCACCGGCAGCTGATGCAGGAGGTTCTGTGCGATGTGCAGCTGATGAACTTGCAGAGGGAAGGGGGAGCAACGCTCGCCAGGCTGAGGAAGGAGGCCACTCGGCTCAGCTTTTGCCCTCCGGTCCGGTAGGACAGCCCGAGTTCTGGCTTCTGTATTGTGCCCGGGTTGAGGGGAGTCGGGGTGGGGTGGGGTTGGGGGGCCACATGCCTGGAGGCAGATGCTAATCGTTTTGCGGCCCTTGGGGATATGCCACTGGCAGCCGGCACCACCTTACTGGAGGATCGGGCACCCAGATAGTCCCCAGGGGCGGCATTTTTTTGCAAGGCAACTCCAAAACTGGCCCATGGAAAATGGGTGTCAAACGGTGCCACCCAAATTGGACAGCAGCTGAAGAGGAGGGGGTTGATACCCCCCCCCAGGCGGTTGGGAGAGCAGTGTGGCTAGCCGGAGCCAAAGGTGCAGCGCTTTGTGAGCCAGGAACAAGACACAGGAAGGCGGTGGCGGCTTGAGAGACGCTTCTGGAAGGCAAAGGAAGGGGAACGCTGGCTCTGAGCCCTGGACTGAAGGCGGGCCAAGGCCAGGAGGGGCTGTGGGGAGGGGGGGGCGGCAGGAGGGAAGGAGGGAGGGGGGGAGCGGAGGCTGCCTGGTCATCTT